TGTAGATAGCAAAATGTAGTTCGTTTTCTCAAAATATTAAATTTAATTTTGTAAATAAAAACACTAGAAATCTTAAAGATATATGCTATGCATGTTTTACACCAACATTAACAAAAGTCTACTTTCTAAATATCAGTTAATTGATCTAACACTAAACTACACACGGATGTCTTGATCTTCGGATCGGTTCCTCTTAGATCCGAGTTTTTCAGATTCTAAAGTTTTGACCCAATTAGGTATATGAAAAATTCTTCTTCGGGTTTATTTCTCGCAGATCAGAATTGGTTTAGATCTATAATTAAAATGTATGTAAAATAAATATAAATTTGGGTCAATATTAGGTTCATATCGATTTAGATATTTAGGATCCGAAATTCATCAAAATTATATGTCATATTTATCTAAAAATTTTCAAAATAACCAAAAATACACTATTAGTAACCAAAATTAAAAATTTACGAAAAATAACCAAAATTAAAATATTTTTAAACTATAAATTTGACATTTAAACTTTTCCATTTCTTTAAAAATATTAAAAAATAATGAAGATTGTTAACATAAAGACAATTCAACTAAATCATAAACTAAAATATAGAAACTAGAACATATGAAATCATAGTTCTGAATATTTATTTTTTTAAATCGGGTATTATTCGGTTCTAATCTAGTGGGATTTTTTTTGAAACAGTTTTTTTCGATTCCGGTTCTTTCGGTTAGAGAAATTTGGGATCCAACCAAATGCTTATAAATTGTTGATTCTGTTGTGGATCGGATGTTTTTGGATCGATTCCAGTTGGAATTTCCAGATACATCTAATATGTTCAGGTCTACACTAAACCGAATATGTTACATCATATAAGTTGAATTCTAAATTTAAAATAATCATTAAATTTTTTTATGAAAATAAATACTAAATCCGAAATCTTATAAAACAAGCGTCCATTTCTGAAGCTTTTAATTATTTTTTGATGATTTTTCTTAATTGTAGAGCCGAAAACATTAGTTAGAATATAAATAAAACTATATGTTACCTACATAATTGGGCACACAACTAGAATATGAATGAAAACATTGGTAGATATGCATCATATTCCAAAAATTAAAATCTGTCCCAGTTTTGTAAAACGTGAATGATCGAAGAAATTATCAGTACGACAAATTGTCAAGCTAGAAAATTAATATACTCTTTTATAAAACAACAGCTTTTTTCAAAAAAAAAAAAAAGAACTGAAAATAGTAATTATTTTAAATTCTAAATTTAGCATTTTTTGCATTAGAAAAATCCGGGGGTTTATCTTGCAATTTTGCATAATTTGTTCCTTACTTTTAATATATGCAGACAGCCTGTGTCTATATCTATATATATGTGGAGCTTCTTCCTCTTAGAAACTCAAAAAGTATATTCTCCAGATTTTACACAGTTTAAGCAAATTAGAAGAAGCTGATGGGTAACCACACAGACGCCAGAAACATTGGCCACCGGGAAGTCACGGCGGCAGAGATGGAGTCTCTAGCCAGCTTTTGCGAAGCTGTCTTGCCTCCCGTGCCGCATCCTGAAGAACTTCTCGGCGAAGATGATCACCACCGGAATAGAGAGGCTCTCCGGACGTTTTACTCATCTTGTGGGTCTCAGACTCCCGTGGCTCGCCAGGTACACACACTTTCTCTTGTTTCTTGATCAATAGCTCAAATGGTCAAAGTTTTGAATTTTTAATATTAAACCATAGGTTAAACGCATTTTTATATAAAGTAAGAATATATGTATATTATTGAAATATAAAATATATTTTTTTTTCAGTTTTTAGAAGATGTTCTTGCAAGATTTAGACACAACCAGTAAACGCTAAAGATTCATCTTCATTTTTGTTTGGTGTTATTTAATCATTTGTGTAAAAGTCGAAGACTTCTGTTGTTGGATGCAGACCATTGACTTGATCATTAAACGAGGGACGATGGAAGCTTATCTTGCAACGAGACTAGTCTTGTTCCTGCTTGCTACTCGGCTTGGGACGTTACTCATTTGTGGATCAGAGTGTTTGGTCTCGAGCTGGCCTTTTGTCGAAAAATTCAGCGAGCTCTCGGTGGAGAAGAGGGAAAGAGTACTTCAGAAACAATTCAGAAACTGGTTCTTCACTCCTATTAGAGCTGCCTTCGTCTATATCAAAGTCGCATTCCTCTTCTGTTTCTTCTCTAGGGTATGTTTCAGATCCTCTGTTTTTTCCATTACATGATTTGTCTGAGTCACAAAGATCACGTATATTTATTTGATAGTTGTGTTGGGAGCGGTTTTAGGCGTAGTGGAGATGAAACATTCGCCTTAACTTCAATTTCTTTATTTATTTTTCTTTAAAACTATATAAATGGATATTGTGATCCAAATTTTAAAGTGGAAAATTTTATATAAATTTACCTTAAAATGTTTATGATCCTTAAAATTCAGGACGGACATGGTCACTTGTGTTCAGTTTGGATTAGCCAATCTTAAGTCCATCAAGATAAACAAGAAGTTCCAAAAATCTGAAAACACTTTACCTAAACCTAACCAAACGGATTTACATGAGCTTATCTTTTACTTTTACACTTTGTTTATATACACATAATCCAAAAAGCCTGAAACTAATCCTCACCAAACTGATATATACTAAAAATTATCTTCACTTTGGTTTACTATACATAATACAAAAAGAACCTAAAATTCAGGAATAAATACCAAATACATAGTTTCATATGATTTTACTCTATAGTTTTACTTGTTATCATCTTCAATATTTACTGAATGTACCGTTGATTTTGTGTAGGTTAGTCCAAACGGAGAGAACCCTGCATGGGAAGCCATAGGTTACCGAGTAAACCTAGACGAGAACAAACCTTCTGAAACTCAAAAAGAAAGACCTCTTGAGAAAGGCATGGTGGAGACCATGAAAGAAACAGAGCAAACTCTCCTCGAATCACTTGCTCAAAAGGGACTAGAAGCAGACCACGACAAGGACCACGACGCGATCAGGATCAAATGCGACGCTGTTGTGGTTGGGTCCGGTTCAGGAGGAGGCGTAGCGGCTGCTGTGCTAGCAAAAGCTGGTCTAAAAGTGATTGTCATGGAGAAAGGAAGCTACTATACAGAGTCAGATTATCCTCCTTCCGAAGGTCAAGCCATGGACAAACTATACGAGAACGGAGGGATCCTCCCAAGCATCGATGGGGACCTCATGATATTGGCAGGAGCAACCGTAGGTGGTGGATCTGCTGTGAACTGGTCTGCGTGTATCAAAACTCCGAAGTCAGTTCTTCAAGAATGGTCGGAGGATCATAAGATACCTCTGTTCGGTACCAAAGAATATGTCTCGGCTATGGAGTTAGTGTGGAAGAGGATGGGTGTCACGGAGACATGTGAACTAGAAGGTTTCCAGAACCAGGTTCTAAGGAAAGGCTGCGAGAATCTTGGTATCAATGTCCAAAACGTTGCGCGTAACTCCTCGGAGAAGCATTACTGCGGGTCTTGCGGGTTTGGATGTAGACAAGGAGAGAAGAAAGGAAGCGACAGGACATGGCTTGTGGACGCTGTGAGTCACGGAGCTGTGGTTCTAACGGGGTGTAAAGCGGAGAGATTCATACTCGAAAAGAACACAGGAGGCAAGAAGATGAAATGTTTGGGAGTGTTGGCGAAATCTTTAAACGGAAACATAGCCAAGAAGATCAAGATCGAAGCTAAGGTGACGGTTTCAGCGGCTGGTTCTCTTTTAACACCTCCTTTGATGATCTCTAGCGGGTTGAGAAACCGACATATCGGTAGAAACCTTCACCTACATCCTGTCCTAATGGCGTGGGGTTACTTCCCTGAGAAGGAATCTTCTAATGACAACTTCAAGGGAGCGTCATACGAAGGTGGGATCATAACATCAATGAGCAAAGTGCTGTCAGAAGACTCAGAAGTTAGAGCCATCATAGAGACGCCAGCACTAGGACCAGCATCGTTCTCAGTGCTATGTCCTTGGACGTCAGGGATTGACATGAAGAAGAGAATGTCAAGATACTCAAGAACCGCGAATCTCATAAATATAGTTAGAGACCGCGGGTCAGGAGAGGTGAAAACGGAAGGCAGGATAAGCTACACTGTCGATAAAACCGATAAAGAGAATCTAACAGCCGGGCTTAGACAGTCGTTGAGGATACTCATTGCAGCTGGAGCAGAGGAAGTGGGAACTCACAGGAGCGATGGGCAGAAACTGATATGTAAAGGGGTTGATGAGAAGTCGATAGAGGAGTTTTTGGACTCGGTGAATGCAGAGGAAGGGCCAAAGGCGATGACCGAGAAATGGGGTGTGTATAGCTCAGCTCATCAGATGGGAAGCTGCAGAATCGGTGAAGATGAGAAAGAAGGAGCGTTAGATTTGAATGGAGAGAGTTGGGAAGCTGAGAAATTGTTTGTGTGCGATGGAAGTGTCTTGCCGAGTGCTGTCGGTGTTAATCCTATGATTACAATTATGTCTACTGCTTATTGTATCTCTACAAGGATTGTAAACTCCATGACCACCACAGGTTTATCTCATTGACGGAAGTCGTTTCAGTTTTATCATACTACATGCATAAACATATTCATGTAAGTCTACTGTTATTTTCTTAGTGATAAAGTTAATAATATACTCTGAAAAGTGAAATTAATGTGTATCCAACAATAACTGTTTGGTACTTATAGTTGAAAATTTATTTTCTTGGTCAAGGCTATAAGCTAAGGATCGAGCCTAATCTACGGATTTTCTTATTAAAAGTGACATTAAAACATGGTTAGTCCATGAATTGCTCCCTTTTTAGCTACTTTCCGCTTAGTAAAAAGAAACCATGTTAAAAAAAAAAAACCATACTTGTCAGATAGATTAATGTGTAATCACAATGATGATTATAAAAAACAAAAGATTAGGTGATGAAGTGTTATGTAGTGACATTTTCTTTTTGGTTAGTGGGTTAAACTTTCACTAAAGGTAAAATTTAAAGCTGACTTTCTTGAGGAAATAGTGGCATTCTTTATTTGAAAAGAAGAGTTGAACATATATAAAACTTAAATATAAATTTACAGAACATCAATATATAAAGTGGGAAGTTAAATTATCTTTGCTCGTTTTACACTTGGAAAGTTCTACAAATGAAATCAAGAATCCACTAGTCTCCAAAGGATAAAATGGTTACGCAATTTCAGGAGTTCCCCAAAAGGTTTCTCCAGTATGGCTACAATATTCAATGAAAAAGCCGAAATGCTTCCTGTATATCCCGGAACCTGGTTGATGACTAGACCCTCCAATGTATTATCTTTTGTTTAATGGTCTGAGTCCATGTCACGGAATGGTAATGGTACGGTCTTCACAGCCCTAAAGTGGCCTACATTGTTCAAATGCTCATTCTCCACTCTGTAAAAGGTAAACAAATTTCCTAGTTAGTAACATTTAATATCAAGTTTAACACACATGTTTAAACATAGGTGAAGTTTTTTACCTGTAAAAGTTCCAATGGCCTCGGCGAATGACTTCAAGGGATGCCAATAAGAAATCTAATAAATGAGACTGAACATGATTGACCCTGAACCTCACTATTGTTTCTATCCAAGCAACTCGCAATACCAAATTCAACGCCTGAACAAAATACCAAAAAATTAAACATTGGTTACATCAGCATTTAGTAAAAGATCTTAAAGTACTTGTGAAACACGTTTATATATTCTGTGAATTTGACTTACAATGGAGAGATAGTAGATGTTCTTGTTCTTGAGAACAAGATCGTCCCTTAGCCATGGATTTTTGGATTTAGGGTTCAAAAGACCCCAATCCTTGACAAAGTCCCAATATAACTGGTAAAGCGTGGCCACCACCGAGCTCACAAGCACGGCGGTTAGCCACAAGTTGGTGCTCTCTCTTGCATAGGTTATGCGGACTCCGGCTGCAACCATTGCTGAAACGTATTTTCCCATGTTGACTAAGTGGTCAGTGTTTGATTCGTCCCACCATCTCCTTATGCACTGTAGATTTAATGTCAATAATGTTAACTGGAAGTTTTGAAGGGCTTTGATCTTAAAAAAGAGTAAAACCTAAGTGAGCGAGCTTACTTGCATGGCCCGCCAGAAGTAAGGTGAGAAAGAGATTAAGTAAGCAAGTTCTCTATAGATTCTTCCGTTTTTGCAGGTATTGTATTCGTGTGTTCGAAAGCTTTGGGCCATGAAATAACACGCAGTTGACTCTAAATGTCTCAGCAAAGGAATCTGAATTGAACATAAATAAGTCAAAAACATGATCAGTCTGTTAATTATGGACTAAAAGTTATGTAACGTCAGCATTGATCGATTGAAGTTAAAATTATTTAATTACCTGGCTAGTAAGTTGATCAGCCATGAAGAAATCAACCATCAAAACCTGATTTGTACAAAACAGTTTTAAAATTTAGGTTTCTGTAGATTTCTTGCGCTGAAAGTAACCAAGACATCTCCAAGTATATACCTTGTAGAAAGGTGAGCAAACGATGTTCCGTAAAATTCTAATGAAGCAGAATCTTGTTGGACGGTAAAATGTGTCGAAGGGGCATATCAACACACAGATGAAGATCTGTCACACACCAAAACAGCACAAAATTAGCATTTTGAATTGTGATTGTGGTTGTGGTTGAGCACACTACTAACTAGCTAATTGATTTACCAAGAGGAGGATGCCAGGAATGGTATCGACTTGGCTGGCCGAGAAACCGGCGGCACGGAGGATGAGATGTATGACCATAGCGCCCACCACTGCGGTCATAAACGTTGTTCCCATCAGAAACGCGTCTCGGTAACGCAACGCTGTGGTTGGTGAGAACTCGAATATAAACGTGTAGTTTATCCTCGTGCTCTTCCACATGAAAAGATTGCATCCATACATGAACATGTGTAGACTTAGCAACGCAAAAACGCTGCATTAAAAAAAAAAAAAAAATCAAATTATCAATATTTTAAAACAATTTTCTATTTGTTCTTTTGTTCATGTTCTTTAACCAAAACTAATTAAAGTAAATATAAATAAACACCTGAAAACCGGATATACAGTCTCCATATACGAAACTTGAGCACCAGAGGTGAAGATTCCAGATAGATGGGCCAGTATTATGTAAATACTAAACAATGAGACAAAGCAACCTGTAAATAATCCTGCAAAAAAAAAAAACAGTTTCATTCTCTGTTAAAATAATTCATGGTGGAATCATTTTTTTATTAGTTTATTCTTAGTGGAATGTTATAAAACATAAATAATAAAAGTGTGTATAAATGCAGAGAAAAATCAAAATAGTACCAACAAAGAAAGTAACCATGTGAGAATCTTTCTGCTGGTGGGGTCTCAAGAACTTCATTGCCTTTTTCCTGTCATTGTTTGCGAAGTGCTTTGTGAATATGGACTCCACTTCATCCATGAGTCTTACCACCTTAAGTATATTTTAATCAAAAACACCAATTATGTTTAGTCTTCATGAAATGGTTTACGATGGTATTAAATGTATATATAGACCTTTTATTTCATTGATATAGTACCTTATCAGAGCTGGTGAATTGCGATCTCTTTACGACTTTAAGATAACTTGATGATGCCTGCTGACCAGAAACCTGTTGGCCCATAAATTAATGTTCATGATTAAGGACTTTAATGTTCTTTTTATTCAAATAATTTTGGTTGATCATTGTCACTAGTCAATTAACGAGTAAAGCTTATATATAAATAAATGGTTTACCTTATCGAATTTCTTCAATATTTTTGTAAAAGCTATCATATTCAGTGAACTGCCAAAAAGATATAACATATCAAATCATAAAATAGAATAAATTAAAATGGTAAGATTGATTTGATAATGAATTTACCTGTAAGTCTTCAACAAGCCAAGACCTCTATAGAGCTCAACAAAAGCTTTACGTATCATCTTCTCTGCGCACTGAATCTTCTTCCGGTTGATAAAATCTCCTCCGCCGCTTCTTGGGTTGTTAACAAGCTCCTCCCAGAGAACCGATGTGGCCGTTGCGATGGATCTTGCACCGCCACCGTCAGCTCCGGCCACAGCGTCTGGTATGTCGACGCGGAGAGACATTTTGGGTTTACCTCCTTTTGTTTTGGTCCTCGTTGCAGAGTTTATGAAACTTACACCATTCCTCTCCAACGCCTCTATGATTTCGTCTGTTCTTGATGTTTCACTTTGTGTCTCACTTAGTTCTCCTGGAGACCCTAAAAACAAGAAAAAAAAAGAAACGTTTATATGTTTTGTTACCTACAAAAGACACAAGCTGTAAAGATCATATGTTGTCGGTCCAAACAATTTTGTTTGTATGTTAGTAGAATCGATTTGTGTTCTCATGTTCTTGTCGGCCATTGAATACTGTATGTGTTGACATAAAAGTTTAAAACCATAAAAAATTTCAAATTTCTTTTTGCCGCTTCGAGTTTTGCATTCCCAGACAAAAGATTCGTAAGTTTTAACAAAAACTTGTCATTTCAATAGCAAAGATTTCTATTTTGTGCTGAAAAACATTCAAAAATATATTTGATTTAGCCTAAACCGTTTAGGACACTAAATAACCTACTTTTCTCTTCTAGCCGCACTACTTAAATGGACCTTTACGACATGCACTTTTACGGTTTATAATGGGTGCAGGCCACGTCATAGCTCAGACATATAAATGGTAGCTTTTAAGAGTCGATCGATGTCAACATGCATAACAAAAGGCTTGAAATAATTAGACTGACCTGCAGAGAAATCAGAGTTTCGCGCAGAAGAACTGTATGAGCGATGTGAATTAGAGCCAGAAAGGTTTCTCTTCTTCCGATCACTTAGGATCTGTTTAAGTTCTGCAAGAATGTCTAACTGTTTCTTCAGAATCTCTCCTCTTCCCACAAACTCTGTCTCTTTGGACTTGTGAAACTGATTCACTTTGTTTAGCTCTTCATCCAATCTTGCGAAGAACACTTTAACCTAAAGCAACAATATACAAAGCATTCAAACACTTAAATCAAGCATTTAATTAATTAATAAGAAAAGCTAAAACGTAGTTTTAAATTTGACCATTAGGATTCAGGAAGAGGCTGTTGTGCAATTTAGACTAGTAATAATTAAGCACTATATCATACGACATATATAGCCATTTATTTACCGTGCTATTTTTCCAAAGTAGTTAAGAAATAAGAATCCTTAATATTAATAGTAACGATTATATAAATAGATGTAGCTAATACCTCGTCTTCTTCAGAAAATAACTGAACAAGCTCAGTTTGGTAAATCTCCTCGACATCGTCCCCATTTTCTGAGCCATTTCTTCTCCTGACCTGTTAATCCACGAAAAATAAATGATATTAAGTTTCATTTAAATTAAACCAAAACTTATTAACCATGTAAATATTATATTTTGATTTTTTATACGTGTCATTGCATTGAATTGAATGTTTTATATGAGGGTGGTGACTTGTGAGTTCGTTATGTCTTTATATATTTTTTCGTCACGATGGTTTCGTGAGATATCACGATCTTTACAACCGTTTTCAGCTTCCTGGTTTTCGTGAGACTATAATGAAAAACAGACCTTATTTTAGGATTTGTGATCATAAAGTCTAATAAGTAATCAACAATTTTCCGCAAAAATATTTGTATTGCAAATCTCAAAGTTAATTAATTTATAGGGGTTTTCTAAGTTTAGGAAACAAGTAGGCTCCTCGGTTAAAGGAATGATCTATATGGGTCTCAATCATGTGTTTAATGGTTTTCCTAAAAGACATACAAATATATATGTAAATATTACGTATTAGGTACATAAAAAAACTTCAGAAAGATTTCCCAATTTGCGCTACACGACTTGACATATTGAATTTCTACTCAATCATATCAAATATATATTATTTACGTATCTCAGTCAGCAAAAAGAAAGAATATTTTTTTTAAAATGTCAAAAGACAAACAAATATCTTAAAAAAGATAAAAATAAGTAAAAAGCAGATTTCTCATGAACAATCTGTAGACAAAGCAGAACCAACCGGTAATTCTGACGCGTAAGCAAAGACGCAAAAAGAGTGGGAATGGAAAATACAAAGACGTAAGCCGACACGAAACTCCACAGAAACAATCATAAGGCAAAAAATGATGCTAATTATGACTAAGTGAATACGTTTACGTTCGCTTAAAAATCATATTCCAAATTTGCTAAGCGAAAAAGATGAGTAGTAAACACAGCTAATCTACAATATATTCGGACAAAGTCAAGACATACGATCTCACTAAGTATAATAATCTTCTACGCAATCTGCATTTTAGACATAACTCCTATTACTATGTTTTGGTTAAAAGGAAACTAATCATTCCATCAGACAAAAGAATCTAGCATGTTTTTCTTTAGAGATATTAAAGTAGAGCATCGATTTAGCTTATTAATTACCTGAATAATCTCTGGTTTTTCTGAGGAGGAAAATAGTTTATCCGAGAAGGTTCTCGCCAAGTTGCGAACCGGGTCGAATAGAGATCGACCAAAATCAGGATGATGAGCAATTGGGTAAAGAGATGCCGGTTTTGGTTTACGAGAAATTTTGATTTTCTTGATTTGCTTTTTTAGTAGACAGTAGTTAACAAAGGCCTCTTTCCATTCTGGTATGAGTTGTGCCTCTAACTCCTTAGAGAACTTCACCATCTTCGCATATATTAATGTCTTCCGTTGTGATTAATAATATGTTAAGTCTTGTGACTCGGAAGAAATCAAAACGTGAAGAAGGAAAAAGAAAGAGAGATTAATGTTTAAGAGAGGCATTAAGAGGGAAATGAGAAAGGTTGTATATATAGAGGGAGAGATAGAGAGAGAGAGAGAAAGACGTGTAGAGAAGATGAATTGAGTTTTCTCTTTTTGGTTTTGGCACTAATTTACTTAATGGAAATAAATCTTTTTTCACACAGATGGTTTGCAGCTACGAGCGGATTTAACTTTTAATGCGATTTGTTTAACCTAAAGTAATAAAAATTATTTTATATTAAATTGCTTGGCCATTATGCGAGCTTAATTACACTCACTTGCTTATATAGGATTGAATATAACGCACTCATTAGTATTCAGGAATTATAAAGAAGGTGTGAGTAGTGCAACTCGTCACGAACCCCACACACAAATACACACTTCTATTGCATTCAAGAATAGTATATTTAAGTTTATCTTGCATACATTCTTTTCGGAAAATATTTTTTAAATATATTAGACATATGTGTATGTATCTATGATATGATCCATGATGTAATATTACGTGTAACATATATCTTTTTATATGAATCATAAGAGATTAACCAGACGGCTGTATTCCAACAGTGTTGTTATGTTAACTGAGTCCAGATTTCGATTATCAACTTCATATATTTTAGAATTATAAAACTTACATAACCGTTATATCTGTTTCAAGATCAGTCCAAAATTTTAACTGATCCGGAGTTGCTAGTTTTACTGTTAAAGTCTTCAGCTTTAAAGATAGACTAGATTTTGGCCTACGCACCCGCCCGGATGTATTTTTTCAAAAATAGATTGCTATTTGTTTTTCATATTAGTATATATATCATATACATGTCATCATATAATCAATAGTATTTTATACGTACCATAATACAAATTATGGCTGAGTTTGCGGATCGACCCGCTCCGCTGCGATTTGAATCATTTTTTGATTCAAAAATTTGACACGCAAGAAGAAATATATTATACCTAAACCCATCCTGTTTAAATTAGTGAGTAAAAGTTTAATATTTTTATCACAAATATATTTCACCAACTGTATTACAAATCATTTAAACTTTACTTAACATCATGATATTTCAAAGTGCGGATATTATATTTTTCATTCTATAAAAAATTGTTGATAGTTAACGGATTATGTGTTTTTGTATGAGATAACCTATTACGTTTATGATTTGTGGAAGTTTGTTTTGCTTTGTTTATAAAACAACAAATATATTAATTTAATATAGATTTGTATACGTTTTAAAATGTGAGTTTAATATTTAACAGTTATTTTATTGATTAACAAAATAAATTTAAAATATTCTTAGGAACATCACTATATAATTAGAAAGTTTTTGATATATTTTTGTAATCAAATCATACAAATTTTCTAAGATAATGATTTACATTAAGACAACTGTCCCAAATCTAACCTAGAAAATAAATATGAAATATGAAGATAATGAATTAACCTGAGATTAATAACAAAAAAGATAACTATTACAGATAAAAAATAAAAGAAAATGAAGAATGATGAAATCATATGTGGCTTCAAAAGAGGAATCATTATGATAGATCATCTGCACATAAACCAAAACCAGAATCAGAAAAATGTGTATATATATAAAGTCCTAACATTCTAAAATAAAATAAATTTACTAAATCCAAAGCAGAAAATAACATTATAAAAATCCAGTGACTTCGTTTCTCTACTGTTAATGTCTTATATACAGTAAATTGGTAAACGTTTATAAACGACATAGATTTCACAAGAAATTTTGAAATAAAATATTCTTTAATAAATTTTCAAAACTATTATACCTATAAGGTAAGATTATTTTTGGAATATCTTGATGGTAAAGGTAAAGAAGAATAATTCTTGACTGGATTGTACCAGATTTTGGTTGACAGATTTCTCTATAAAAATTATATATTAAATACATGAAATTATGAGAGAAGATATCTCGTCAGTTGATTTTGCAACAATTTTTCGAATGACATGTTCTATAAAGAATATTTAAATTTAAAATATATATTAGATAAAAATATAAATATTTAACAAATAAACATTGGTTCTTGTTAATTTGTTGTTTACGTTATACTACTATTAAATTGAAAATAGAATTCAAGAAAACTTACCAATACAATCTAGTGTTTGAAGGTTGATATCAAACAGTTTAGATTCTTGTAGCGACTAAGTTTTCCATAACTATTCCGATGAAATAAATATGTGACATTAAAATGATAATGATTAGATCTAACCTAGAAAATAAATATGAAATGTGAAGATAATGAATTTACCTGAGATTTATAGAAAAAACAAATGTTTAGTTTGTCCAAAAAATAGAAGATAAATGTTTAGTTCAAAGGAAAAAACTAAAGAAAACGAAGATGATCAAATCATAACATGTAAGTTACAGAAGTTTGATTTCTTTTACAAAATGCTGCAATCTTTACACCATACAAAACAAAGAAAAGTTGAATAAGATATTGATTAGAAAATGATTTTTTTTAAAAAAATCAAACTTCTGTAACTTACATTTTCGTTAGCGAGGACGAGCTCTAATGTGTCGCCTCCATAACTGGTGTTTTGTTTTGGTTGAAGCGGAAGGATATTCGCTTTATTAGCTAAGGCAGCTGGTCCACAAGCAAGGTAAGTAAGTCCATTACCAGCCGGCTCCGGACTGAAGAACCTTAACGCGAATTTTCCAATTATCTCTATAAGGTTTACACCGTTAAGGAATACAAAAATGTTTGGTTTTGTCATTTTTTTATTAGAGGTGATAGTGAATGTCGAATGATGAATATGATGAGAACTATATATACGCCTCATATTTTAGGTAGGGTGTCAAAACAAATATACTTTCCAACAATTCAGAAAACCAATTAATTGTATATAATTAATATGAAATCAAGAGATTTAGTATCTAGGCGAGATTTTAGGCAAAGTAGGTTGACTTGGAGAAAGGATAATTCCATAAAGGATTGTATATATCTATCAAATTGTTCTTTATAATTAATACTAAATCAAGAGCTTTAAATGTAACCGAGATTTTCTGCTTAAAAAAAATAAGAATATAATGAGGATTTTTGTAAATAATAAAAAGGTAAATTATAAATATGTTCCAAATAATTATAAGATACCGAATCATCACTAACTTCCTAAATAACAGATAACTTTCTAAACAATAGCGAAATATAATTAATTGCGTAAAGATTAGATTAGACTAACAATAATATCATATCGTTATTAGACTATGAATTAATAATATAAGGTCCAACTTAAAATCTACCTTGAAAAAGTTATAATGCTTCTGTTTTAATAAGATAGATGTACCAGATTCGAATTTCAGTGGCTGCGAAAAAAAGATTTAACTATCAACTCTTGTTCCTGATCCAAGAAGATTTATGAATTTTTTTCCAGAACTTAAATAAAGGACTAAATATTATTTTATTTATAACATTTATTCTATATGTAAGTATTCTCATTTCATTAAAAAGGCATTTGGGTAATTTACATTATTATATGCATAGATAAAATATTTCTGATTCTATTCCCAATACAAAAAAACATTTAATTTCCGACTACATAATCAGTCGTAAAACAGTCGGTAAAGGTAAATTAACGACTACATTGCAACTAATCGACATAGTCGCTAAATGTTGTGCCACAAAATAAAAACGTCGTTATTCAGTCGTTAATGTACGACTGTTTTGCGACTATTTTACAACAATCGCAATATAGTCGCAAATCAGTAGTAAAATAATGACTGATTAACGAAAATTCATAGACCAATCGGCGACTGATTATTAGATGTTATGTAGATGGGAATGTGTAGTCGCTTATTAGTCGTTAACACATAGTCGGTATGTAGACGTAAAATAACGACTACGTAACGACTGATTTATACTCATTTTGCGACTGTTTTGGGACTGTTTTATGACTAACTTGAAAATTTTATGCTTCATTTCATTATCCGAAAATCATATTTTTTTGATTTTAGTTGTTTGTTCATTAGTTGAAAACATAATAAATTCGAAATTTTAAAAGAAAACTAAGAATTCCTAATAATAAGTTCCAAAAGAAACTCCTAAGGAGTTGTAGTTATACAATACAAAATAAAAGTAGTGAATTATACAATACATAACAAAATAAAAGTAGTACAAAGAAATTTAGTCATCATCTTCATCTTCATCTTCCATTGCAGCCATGAAGGCTGAATACTTTGGATCAGTGGTAGAGAGATACTTGTTCGCCAAAGAATAACCCTTAAGCTCTTTCTTTAGCTTGGCATTGTGAACCGCCTGCTTCTTAATCTTCTGGAGAGCCTTGTCGAGTTGTTTTTGGAGGTCCATGTAGGCAGAAGAAGAACATGATTCATTGTGCTTCCTCTTTTCGTTGGGGAAAGAATCCTCTAGGCTTCCAATCCCATAGGGTCTGCCGCTTTTGTCTATGAAAGTGGACTACAAAAAACAAAGTAAATTCGGGGAGAGATCATTAATCAGAAAAACACAACAAATAATATGTAGTAAGGACTATCTTTGTAAGCAAAAAGTAAGAGATAAAAGGAGCAATTTACCTGAAGGAAAGGGTCATTATCTATGTCTATGGAGAGTTGAGAAGGGTGTGAAGTACCATCTGAACCGTCTTTGTTTCCAGCTTCAAGCTCATCCAACTTTGCTTGCTTCTTCTTCCCATACAACTCTGTCACTTGCTTCGCTTTCTTATCCACAAAGCTACCATTCTTTTTTGTATGAGCTCTGATGAAAACTTCGTCAATACTCACTGGTCTCCCCAATTCTTCAACCTGAAATGATAAATAAGTTAAAAGTATTTGAGATAGAAAATATTTAATTTGGAGAGAGAAAAATACCATTTCTTTTTCGATTTGGAGGTAAGACTTCTGGCCTGAGTTGTGTGTGTGAGGACCAAGTCTATTATGGTCAGACATCCGAGCAGTTGATGGCACTTTTGTTCTACATCGTTTGTCCATCGGCTTCCATCTTTCTGCACCACAAAACTGACATTTTTTC